TGTGTTATGACGTGGGGAAGTCACTTCTCTGTGCCTCAGTTTGAGCATCAGGAAAGTGACAACATTCGATGTTTGTCAAGGTTACAAACTGGGTGATTGTGAAGATTAACACCATGAATCAGAATATTCAGAAACTCATTAAGTCATTACAACAACCTATATTAAAGATGAGTTAACAGGTGAAAGTAAAGTACCTCAAGGTTGCTCAGCTAAAAAAAGACCAGATATCACATTCAAACCCAAAAGCTTAGCTCAAGCCTGCTCCTGGCCCCGTGCTCTGTCCATAGTAATAATCCAGGTAAATATTTGTTAAATCACAAAATGGTCTATTTTTGTGATGCTTCATTTTTCTTAACCATTTTTTGGGGGCGTGAAACCCACTTCTGTAATATGCACAATTTTCATAATAACGGCCCACTCGACGAACACTAGTAATTCAATTAAGTTCGACTGTGATAACACATATATCTGCTCAGTTTCAAATTAACCCCAGTGTTTGTAAAAAAGAAAAAACGAGGGCCCAAGGAAGACGGTGTTGGGGAGAGACCGAAAACCACACGCTTGTCATGTGGGGCATGCGCATTCTAACGGAAACTTCCGGCCGGCGGCGCCCCGGCGTCCACCCAGCACCCAGGCGGAGCTGAGGCAGCTGACGGGGAGTTTGTCTTCATGGTGGACAACTCCCAACTCCAGACTGCAGCCTCTAGGCCGCTGCATGCCCGGTGACGAACACCCACAGGTGTGCAGGACCCGGACAACTCACCTGTCAGTGTCCGCTCTGTACTCGGCACGAGTTCCGGGTCTCTAGCCGCCGGCCAATTCCCCTCAGCAGCACTGACCCGGCCACCTGTGAACCCGCAGACACGCCCGCCCCCAACGCAGCCAATCAGGACGCGAGGCGCAGGCTACGTGACCCCTCTGACGCAGCGCGGAGGGGCGGGGCGGCGGAGTTCAATCTGACCGGCTTGGTATCAGGGGTCAACGCAACAGCACCTCTGGCCAGCAATTATTGCCGCTGACATTCTCACGCCTTTGCCCTCTGTGTATTTTAGAGAACTTGGAGTTTCAGTCTTTTTGTCCCTTGGGGAATGTCACAGCCCGCGAGAAGAAAAAAAGAAATAACTCAGAAAACCGCTATATGTTTAAGCTGTAGCCATTCAGAATTCCCAAAAGAAGCCTACGGATAAAGAACTAATTTACAAAAGAAATTTAGTTAAAAAAAATCCCGAAACTTCTTTGGTACATATCTAGCCTTCCTGTCCCCCGTCCCCTGCCAACTCAGCAGTCAGCTACAGTGCCTGATTCTTCTTTAATGAAGAATAAAGAAGAACTTTAAAGAATTAAACTGCCTCCTGACACTTTAACTCAAATACTAGCCTTTTCAGATAAACTGCTAGGTGGTTTATATTCTGATTATTACCGGTGATTCCAATCTCATAAACAAATCTCTCCCTAAAGCCAGGCTCAACGTCAGTCCCATTTACTCTCATATTTATCCATACACATATTTATGGCATGCCTATTAACTGTCAAGCATTTGCAGCAGCAATGACAAAACAGAAGTGCACAAGGCAAGGGGGAATGTGGAGTTCATTCTGGTGGAGGACAAAGATATTAACAACCAATGACACTATTAATTGCAACTATAATAGGGTTCAATGTAAAGGACAAGGTGCCAGAGCTGGGCCAGCTGTGCTATGCTGGGTGTGGAGCTGGGAGGAGGAGAGCAGCGATCTACCCAGGCTCTAGGCCCCTCATTTTGTATTTCATAGTATGCTGTGCATACTTCTAAAAACAGCCTTAACACAAAGGACTGTAATTCTTCCAGACTGCCCTCTCTCCGTGTGGAGTGGACTCATTGTGGATACTGATGAATTAATTTTCCTATGAACAATGCTTGGCACATGGTAGGGACTTGAGAAATGCTAACCAAATCTTTGAGTCTAGCCTTATTACCCAGTTTGTGCTCAATAGCCTTTGTTGAGAAGGGAACAAGCTGTACTTTTAATTCCACAGAGTAGCAGCAAGAATCCTGGCTAGTTGTCTCTAGATCAACTTTGATCTCCAGGATATTCTCGAATTAACTGAATGGCTAACCATATGTGCGGTGCGGGAGTGTTTGTGCAGTAACTCTTCTCCCTCTGAGGTACCCCCGCAGAAAACCCCCATTATTTGGGGCTTTACTGCACTCTTTTGCCTTAAATACTAGTATTTGGGGTCCAGACTAACCAAAGTGTGTCACCTGCATCTGGGTCTGATCCCTGGGTCACGAAGATTATCTGGAGAAGGAAATGGCAACCCACTCCAGTATTCTTGCCTGGGAAATCCCATGGACAAAGGAGCCTGGCAGGTTACAGTGCATGGGGTTGCAAGAGTCAGACACAACCACCACAGAAAAGAGAAGGAAGTTAAGGAAGGTAAAGCCGAGCCTAAGAATTGCATGCCACAGTCACTGGTCAGGAGGGAGGGAGCAGGGATGTGTGTTAAGGAGCTGGCAGATAGCACCAGGGCTCCAAATAATTGTATGAGGAATGACAACACAACCCTGTATGCTGTAATCAACACTTGAAACTGACCAATTTAGCTATGCCAGTTTTCTTAAATAAATGCCACCCAAGGTTTTTTCCATCCTAAATATTTAAAGAATTCATTTCTAGGACCATACAATCAGACAAACACTTGGATAGCAAAATGGGATTACCAGATTAATAATAGTTATGAGAACAGTAATTGGCAGCTAACTAGAGCTGCAGCATGCAGTTATGCAGACTATGCATGCACAATTCAGGGGGCTACACAGCACGACCACCCTAGAGCTAACATTTATCGACCTTCTTACCACATGCCAGGCACTGGAGTTGGTGATGGACAGGAAAGCCTGGCATGCTGCAGTCCATGGGGTCGCAAAGAGTTGGACACATCTGAGCGACTGAATTCAATGAACTGATGAAGCAGATACTACTCTCATCCTCATTTTATAGATGAGAAAAAAGAAGGCACAAAAGGTTAATAACTGCTCAAGATCTCACAGCCGATGAATGACAGAACCAGGCATTTGATTCCAGAGCCCACACTCTTAACTATTACCCCATACTAATTCACAGTTGTAAGCCCAATTACTTGAAAAAAAAAAATCTCTTTGGTTTTAAATCTTTCTTATAGATACCTTTATTTTTAAAAGTACCAAGTATTTAGAAGATAGTACTCTTACTTAAGAATAATTCTGCAAAGTATTTTACTAAATTATAGTAGCTGTTTCTTTTTTCAGAATGGTGACATGTAGTTTACAGAATCTGTTTCTAGTCTGTGATCACATCTCATACACCAAAGCTCTCCTCCTTACCTAAAACAAGCAAAAAAATTTTTAAAAAGAAAAAAAAAAATCAAGTACACAAGATTCCATATATGCATATACTTTAATAACATAGTCACTTCAGCTGTAATTGAACAAAGAAAAGGTGAACAAAAAGAACTTAACACATGATACTTCCACAACTTTGGGTCAAAACAGGCATACATGAAGCTTTAAAACATATATTGTATGTTAACAGAGGCTATAATTACTAATTTTGATTATGCACATTTTAAAAACATTATTATCAAAGAGTGCAAAGTTAGATGTCAAGACAAACAATGATGTCAAGAAAAATTCTGTCTTAAAATTTTAACAAAGTCTTTTAAGAAAGTCTAAAAACCTCCTATTTTCCCACACTGACTCTCAAAACTTTGATTTTTTGTATCAGAATATCAGTTAGCCACTTTAATTTTTACCATACATGAAAAATTATCAAAAATATATTGATGGGTCTATACTAATTGTGACTATTTATATTTACATTAAGCAAATTCTTTTACCAAGTTCTTTATATACAAATTACCATTTGTCCTATGTCAAATTTATTTAAAAAGTTAAAAACCACAGAAATGTTATTAGAAATAATGCATTTCAATACGTAACTGCTTTCCATCAATGAGGAACATTTTAAAATAATTTAACTGAAAAAGTATTGAACTCCCCACCAATTTCAGCTGCAACAGTATTCCTTCTGAATGTTTTCTGTGATGTAAGAAAAAAAAAACTGCGTAAAGCTTGATTGCAAGGAATGATAAAAATCTGATGAGTGTTTACTAACCATCAAGAAATTTACAGACTAATTAGGTTCACATTAAAAAAAACAGCAATGATTTTAAAAATGTGAACAGTTCAAGATAACTGAAGAAACAAAAGTCTTTCTGGCAAATGCACTGTATGAAATCTTTTCATATAAATTTAAATCATAAAACAGTATCCCAAAACCAATTAAACAGAATGCAGGCATAAATTTTTGACATTTTGAAAAAGGACCAACATCAAAAAAACCTTAAGCTACCTATCAAACTGGAAATAATTTAGATTTCAGATCTATCACAATTGATAAATTTATAAACACTTAAGATATGAGGAAAAGTTCATAAAGGGATATTATTAATATCACTAAAAGTTAAAAGTCACTTTAATTGTTTTAGACTCTTGGTCACATAGGAAGGAAATGAAAAGGATGGTTTTTTCTGAGAAAAAATCTGAGCAGAACACCATAAGCTTTTCAGATTTGAAGATCATCAGTTCAGAGGACGTAAAACCGAGTATAGCACTGTGCCCAGTACAGGTGCATTGCTCCTGTCCCAGAACTGATTTTGTAACAATCACTGAAAAATTTATGCCTGGGACTTCCCTCCTGGTCCAGTGGTTAAAACTCCACACTCGCAATGCAGGAAGCCCAGGTTTGATCCTTGGCCAGGGATCTAAATCCCACAGCCACAGCTAAGAGTGAGCATGCCACAAGTCAAGATCCTGCACGCTGCAACTAAGACCCAGAGCAGTCAAATAAATATGTTTTAAAAATTTATGCCCAAGATTCTCTGGCTTGAAAATAGAGATAAGCTCCATTTCGGAAGTTATCTTAATTTATGTTGATTACACACTCTGGCTTAAGCAAGAAATAAAGCTGTAAAATATTTACCTAATTAGTGCTTTGTCGCTGGACTTTAGGATCAATACTCTGCATGTCCTCTTCCTGACTAGGACGTTTCCCACTGCCAAGACCAGTGCCTGTGGAGCTTCTTCCTACACATTGAAAAAAAAAAAAAGTATGTTTAAGATAGGAAAGGTGAAAAGAACAGTATGCTTGAATGCTTCATTCTTACCTTGCTTTAATAGATGAGTTTGCTGACTGTCTCTATGAGCATAATGTAAAATACCACTCCCTTGAGTACAACTTGTTAGTATTTAAAAGACAGTTTTAAAAGACAGTAAAATCACTTAAGTAAATTCCAAGTTGTATGTATTAAGATTACAAATCTAATTTTTAGTATTTGTATTATGTTTTTTAGAATTAATCTACAATGCTTCATAAGAACCAAAAATCATATGCTCAAATCAGGAAAACTTAACTTGTCCTTAAATTCAGGGACACAGAAATGTTGACTATTCCAAGGAAAAATCACTGATAATCATTTTCTAAAAAACATTTCTTTACTGGATGACAATGATTAGACACATGACCATGAAGGCAAAACATAGGGCATCAGTAAGATAAACATCCTTTCTTCATCTCCTCCTTTCTCAGTACCTATGTAAAACATACGTCCTTGGAGATAAGAGAATAAGCGTCTGTCAGATGACAGCTAAACAGTTCACACAAGGAGGAGACACAGACGAAGGTGCTACCCACCCCACCATCTTCCAAGTAAAGTTTCCTAGTTCCTTTAGCTCTCAATGTTCTTCTCCCTTTTTTCCTATTGCATGGGGAGGCAGCATCTTAACAATTTATCACTTACTTCATTTATTTTTTTCCCTTTCCACACCCCCATTTAGACTCCAAGCTCTTTGTGGCTTTTATGTCTTCTGTTTTTTGAAAGCCTCACAGTACCTAGCTACAAAGTATGTTATTGACAAATATTTATATATTTAGATTACTTTCAAATTTATTAATCCTACCATAAAACATCATGTGTATAAATTTGTGAAGCAAAATCATTCCAATTTAACTTGCTAACATGATTAGTTTTGCAGATAACTTCAAATATTGAATACAGATCTGAACTAAGAAAGAGTATGTACCACCCCCCCCCAGTAGCCAGGTAACTGGAGTGTGTTGCTTCCTACCCCTCTGCTGCCTGCCCGTTAGCTCAGCATTTCACACAACTGTCCCTAAAACTCAAGTGTGGAGACAAAAGGCAGTCTGTGAACTGCATCAGAAATGTGATAGAACTTTTGAAATGATTCCTTGTTAAAGTTTATTTTAAATTGTAGGAGACTCTGAGAAAGAACATTTCTGAAGTACACTACCATCAACAGCAATAATTTGAATGTAGGCCAAACACATAATAAAATCTTTAGTTTTATAAACACTACACATGGCATTACATTTATAGGGGAGGCCCAGTGATACAGGAAGAGTATGAACTTTAGGACAAGTTAGACTTGGATCTGAATCTTAGCTCAGCTACTTACTAACTGTGGGATCGTGGTTAAGTTACCTAACTCTTCTAGGCTTATTTCTCCAATCACAAAATGAGACTCCTACCACCACTTCTCCAGGATATTGTGAGTATGTGGCAAAAATTCCTCATACACAAAAGTAGGCAGGTAAGATATGAGTGCTTTCACTCCTTTCACCCTAAGCTAACTGTTGCTCTCAAAAGTATGCAAAATATTTCCGAATTCATAAGAGTTCAATTTGTTAAAAGATTTTATTCTTAATATCAAATTTTGAGTATCTGACATTAAAAAAAAAAGACCTGGAGCTGACTGTGACTCAGATCATGAACTCCTTATTGCCAAATTCAGACTGAAATTGAAGAAAGTACGGAAAACCACTAGACCATTCAGGTATGACCTAAATCAAATCCCTTATGATTAAACAGTGGAAGTGACAAATAGATTCAAGGGATTAAATCTGATAGACAGAGTGCCTGAAGAACTATGGACGGAGGTTTGTGACACTGTACAGGAGGCAGGGATCAAGACCATCCCCAAGAAAAAGAAATGCAAAAAGGCAAAATGGTTGTCTGAGGAGGCCTTAAAAATAGCTGAGAAAAGAAGAGAAGCAAAAGGCAAAGGAGAAAAGGGAGATATACCCATCTGAATGAAGAGTTCCAGAGAATAGCAAGGAGAGATAAGAAAGCTTTCCTCAGTGATCAGTGCAAAGAAATAGAGGAAAACAACAGAATGGGAAAGACCAGAGATCTTTTCAAGAAAATTAGAGATACCAAGGGAACATTTCATGTAAAGATGGGCACAATAAAGTACAGAAATGATATGGACCCAACAGAAGCAGAAGATAATAGGAAGAGGTGGCAAGAATACACAGAAGAAATATACAAAAAAGATCTTCACAACCCAGATAACCATGATGATGTGCTCACTCATCTAGAGTCACACATCCTGGAATGTGAAGTCAGGTGGGCCTTAAGAAGCAACACTACAAACAAAGCTAGTGGAGGTGATGGAATTTCAGTTGAGCTATTTCAAATCCTAAAAGATGATGCTGTTAAAACGTGCTGCACTCAATATGCCAGCAAATCTGGAAAACTCAGCAGTGGCCAAAGGACTGGAAAAGGTCTGTTTTCATTCCAATCCCAAAGAAAGGCAATGCCAAAGCATGCTCAAACTACCACACAATTGAACTCATCTCACACACTAGCAAAGTAATGCTCAAAATTCTCCAAGTGGGGCTTCAACAGTACATGAACCATGAACTTCCAGATGTTCAAGCTGGTTTTAGAAAAGGCAGAGGAACCAGAGATCAAATTGCCAGTATCCGCTGGATCACTGAAAAAGCAAGAGAATTCCAGACAAACATGTACTTCTGCTTTACTGACTACGCCAAAGCCTTTGACTGTGTGGATCACAACAAACTGTGGAAAATTCTTAGAGAGATGGGAATACCAGACCACCTGTCTTGCCTCCTGAGAAATTTGTATGCAGGTTAAAACTGGACATGGAACAACAGACTGATTCCAAATCAGGAAAGGAGTATGTCAAGGCTGTATACTGTCACCCTGCTTATTTAATTTATATGCAGAGTACATCATGAGAAATGCTAGACTGAATGAAGCACAAGCTAGAATCAAGTTGCTGGGAGAAATATCAATAACCTCAGATATGCAGTGACACCACCCTTTATGGCAGAAAGCGAAGAAGAAATAAAGAGCCTCTTGATGAAAGTCAAAGAGGAGAGTGAAAAAGCTGGCTTAAAACTCAGCATTCAGAAAACTAACATCATGGTGTCTGGTCCTATCACTTCATGGCAAATAGATGGGGAAACAATGGAAACAGTGAGAGACTTTATTTTGCAGGGGGGGGGGGCTCTAAAATCACTGCAGATGGTGACTGTAGCCATGAAATTAAAAGACATTTGCTCATTGGAAGAAAAGCTATGACCAACCTAGACAGCATATTAAAAGCAGGGACATTACTTTGCAATAAAGATCCATCTAGTCAAAGCTATGGTTTATTCAGTAGTCATGGATGGATGTGAGAGTTGGACTATAAAGAAAGCTGAGCACTGAAGAATTGATGCTTTTGAACTGTGGTGTTGGAGAAGACTCTTGAGAGTCCCTTGGACAGCAAGGAGATCCAACCAGTCCATCCTAAAGGAAATCTGCCCTGAATATTCACTGGAAGGACTGATGCTGAAGCTGAAAGTCCAATACTTTGGCCACCTGATGTGAAGAATGGACTCATTTGACACAGATGTGTAGAACAGACTTTTGGACTCTGTGGGAGAAGGCGAGGGTGGGATGTTTCAAGAGAACAGCATCGAAACATGTATATTTATTATCTAGGGTGAAAGAGATCACCAGCCCAGGTTGGATGCATGAGACAAGTGCTCGGACCTGGTGCACTGGGAAGACCCAGAGGGATCGGGTGGAGAGGGAGTTGGGAGGGGGGATCGGGATGGGGAATACATGTAAATCCATGGCTGATTCATGTCAATGTATGACAAAAACCACTACAATATTGTAAAGTAATTAGCCTCCAACTAATAAAAAACAAATAAAATTAAAAAAAAAAAAGAATGGACTCATTTGAAGATACCCTGATGCTGGCAATGATTGAAGGTGGAAGGGGAAGGGGATGACAGAGGATGAGATGGTTGGATGGCATCACCGACTCAATGGACATGAGTTTGAGTAAGCTCCAGGAGTTGGTGGTGGACAGGGAAGCCTGGCATGCTGCAGTCCATGGGGCTGCAAAGAGTCGGAAACGACTGAGCGACTGAACTGATTTTTGGTTAGAACATTTGAAAATTGAGATGATTCAAATGTCCAATACATTCTGACTTCACATGTATTAAGAATACGGTGGCAAAGAAACATATATATATATATATATCACAAAGAAAACCATTACAGACCAGGCTTTGTAAGGAAAAACTCATGTGCAAAATGACTAGCGTCACTATGCATGTGTATGATAAATCTTTTGTCCACATTCCCAGGGCCTCTGACCCTCTTAATTAATTACCTTATAGTTAATGTATACTTAAAGAGAATAAAAAATAATGGGCATTCTGAAAATATGACATCTGAGTTTCATTTTATCGTTAATATTGCTCTCCTCATTCAGCTTGCAAGATCTTTTACCCAAATTCCACTATACGTAATGATATTTTCCATCTCCGTTGTTGTTTTTCAGTCGCTAAGTCACGTCTGACTCTTTTGCAACCCCATGGACTGTAGCCCCCTAGGCTCCTCTGTCCATATGATTTTCAAGGCAAGAACACTGAGTGCATTGCCATTTCCATCTCTAAAATGTCACTAATGGAGTAAGGGAGTGTGTATGTGTGTACATGTACACATATATACAAGGAACCTATTACACAAATTTTAGATAGAATTTAAAAAACATATTACAGTGATGTACAATAAACAATATATTTTATTATTAATCTCTCTCTGTTACTAAGTACAGAAATTTCCTTTTTACTTACTTGCATTGCTGCTACAACCTGGGATATTTTCTCCAGGAGAATACCCCATGAGGCCTCCATTCCCATTAGGATTAGATGGCACTGAAGCAAGAAGACCTAAAGGGAAGAAATTTCCTATTAAGTTATGATCAAGATGAAATTCAAGGATGGGGACATAAACAGCTGCCTTAGAACAATCAAAGGCATTTCCTGACATACCGAGTCCTCTGTATCGTGAAAGCTGCTGATAGATCTGTTTCATCCTCTCAATATTCAAACGGCTTGCCTCAGCGTGGTTCACCATTGGTTTAGGATAATTAACTCCTATCAAACATTTGGCTACCTTTTGAATACCTTCTGGTGCATTCCAGGGATCATAGATATATTTTGCAGGGAAGCCTCTCAGAACAGGCAAATAACGCCTTTTAGGAAAAGGAAGAAAAATTATTAATAAAATGAACTGTAAGCAAATTATAACACACTATTTAATAGCTATGAATGACCCAAATCAAATCAATACCATTTAAATGATTTGTTACCCTTTTCCTCATCTCTGCTGCCCATCAGGAGTGGGGAATACCTTAAGCGTTGTTTAAGTATGACAAGCTCTTCCTGGATTAGCTATTCCAAACTGAATAATAATCATCCTTGATTTACCTGATATAGTCTCCATTGGGATCTGTTCTCCTACCAAAACCAACAGGGCAATAGCAGTGAAAAAACTGTTGGAAAAAGGAACTACAAGACAGCCACATCCAACTTCCAGCATTTATGCTCCAATCTGCATCAAGAAGTAATTCTTCAAATACCTTCAGAAGTAATGGTAATCAATTAGTTTGCACACACATATTTCTCAAAGCAAGCATTTTCCAGGTCTCTGTAGATCAAAAGTCAAGGTAAAGAAAATCTAGCACTGAACTAAAAAATTAAACATTCCAAAGTTAGTTTCCTTATCTATGCTCTATCCTTTAATGAGTTATTTCAGGGAAAGAAACATATTACTATACAGATTTCTGAATAGAATTTGCCATTGTAAGCTTGGCAGTGTTATTGGAAAGGGGAGGGTAAAAATTATTCAAGTCATTGATTTAAAAGGGTAAGTTAGGATATGGGAAGTTTTTTTTTAAAAAAGGAAAGAAAAAGTAGTAAACACTTTCAAGAAAGCAAAAATACTACCAAATAAACCACCAAAAAAAACTTGGAAGCTTGGTACATTGGTCTACATAATGGGAACAATCAAATACAAATGACCTTTAAGATTTAATTAAAATTATGGAATCTAAATTTGGGATTCCTTGATCCAAAAGGGAAACAGAATTAAATTATTTTTATAAATTCATTAAGTGTGTGCTACGCATCTATCTCATGTACGACTTGGTGCTAGGAAATAGAGATGTAAGAAACCATAGGATCAGAAATGGTCTTTGGAAAGGGGAAATTTATGATATAGATAGGAAGGTAAAACATATTTAAGTCCTCTTATATATACCCAAAAGATGATGTCACAGAATGTAGTATGCATCACATTACATAATAAGACTAAAAAGCTATGGTGTTGAAGTGAGGCAACACCATATATATATAAGGTATATATATATAAGGTATAAGGTATAGAAAATAAATATAAGGTATAGAAAAAGATATAGAGTTCTTCAAAATAAAGCCATGCTCCATTAGTTGGAAGAACACTTACCTTCATTCCTTCTTCCCAACTAATCCACAGGTCACCTCGTGTCAGGAAACAAGCAACTGCATGTCTGGCTAAATGATGAATCCAACCCTCCTGACGAAGCTGCGTCATGATGGCATCAATCCATGGAAAGCCTGTCCGTCCTTCTGCCCATTTTGCTAAAGCCTCAGGATTCTTATCCCATGGAATCTGAACACAAATGGGATTTCCTTCCATTTTGTCAAAGCGTGGATTATTTGTTGCTGCTGTATAGAAAAATTCACGCCATAATAGTTGCCCATAAAGGGAAAGGGGAGGGGAACTGTTCTTCTTTACCTAAGATTAAAAAGCAAAGAAGTATTATCAGCAATTTTTTAAAAGTATTTTTTAAAAATAAGCTCCAGTTCTAGATAATACCTTTTTGTAGAGATCTGTCAGTTTGAAATAAAAGAGTCGACATGACAAACAGCCAAATCGGAGATAAGGACTGAGTCCAGTAGGGCTGGCGAGCAGGGAATTTGCATTCATTCGAGGTCTTTCAAAGTTCGCCACCCACGCCTGAAAAAAACACAGAGAAAATTATGCTAACTGCCTTTTCCATTTTAAAAGACTGTTTGAAATTGAGCTTTTCAAGAACGTTACATAATCCTTGGGGAATAAAATCTCATTTTTTCAGCCACAAATGACAAGTTTTAATAAAAAACAAGATAAAAGTGAGCATTCTTTTGTTTTAGTCATCCTCATGCGGCAAATTCCTAACACAAGGTTGAGAGCACCTTCAACCTGTCTTTCTGACACTGAGATAAATGTGAAACAGAAGAACTCTATCCTAGCTTTAAAGTCATCAGATTTTGATGATTTTTATGACTTATAAGCTGTAATATCTGTTAGAAATAAAGCCTTCAAACAAGCAAAAAAAAAAAAAAAAAAGTCATCAGATACCAGCTTACACAGAAAGCATAGAGGGGCAGTACTGATAGTAGCTAAAGAGGAAATAATCAGAAGAGGAGGGAGAAGGGTATTTAAATGAAGACAGTTGCTAATCTTCAATTACATTTGTGCTATTTTAATTATTTCTCTTAATCCTTTTCAACAGCCTATTTTTTTGTTTTTAAAAAAGAGTGAAATTATTTTTAAAATGACAGTTTGACAATATAAACATCATCTGTACTATCATACTTTTCTTTCCAAATGCCTTTCCAAACGTGTAAGTGCTTCAGTTTCTCCACCTGGCCACACTGCAGAGGGTAAGCCATCTGTATCAAAACCTAAAAAAAAAAAGGAAATGGAAAAAGATGTGACAGCATAAAATGAAATGATGGCTCTGGATAGGTCCTCACAGATAGATGATATATAACATGGTCTCTATCCTTTAAGACATATATCTTAAGGTGATAAAGATAGACCATGAATTAATAGCATACATAAATAATACACAGATTCATCACTTTTTAGTTGAAGCTTTCTTTTTCCTCCTTTCTTTTCCTTTTAGTGCAAAATACATATCAAATTAGAAGTGGGATTTTTCTTAATGGTTTATTAACTCTCAAGCTCCACATGTATTATTGCTTACACCTACCTAGTTCTTCCAGTGACGGGACTCCGTATTTCTCATCATGGTCATCAGACAGAGGAGTTGTGCACTTTTCTATCACTTCTGAAGTAATTGTCTCTACTGGTATTTCTAGTGGTTCCATTTTGCTGATGAGAGTCTGGAATCTTTTATAGGTAAGAGGTGGTTGACCACCATTTAGTTCTATGATCCTATTACAAAAGTTAGTAAAATGCTCTTAGTATGTTAAAAAGGACAATATAATTTGATAAACTTTGAAAAGTCTTAAAATCAGAAAATTAAATGAAGATAGTAAAAATGAAAACAAAAATGAAAAATCACTTCTATTTTCTATTGTGTATGTTTTTGTTAAATGTCAACATATGTATCTTACGTATATCTTTTATATTTAATTCTGATCAATAATTTCTCAATTAAGTAATACTAAAAGGAAAGAGCCTTGCCAATGGTAATCTGAATTAGATACAATTTGGGAGTAACCCATTATTCTTTTTCATGATAGCCATCTGCACTTAAGACTTCAAGGAGAATGTTAGCTTCTTATAGGACCAAGAAACTTGTTAAAACAATTAACAAATCTAAAAATCATTCTCTTCATTTTACAGACATCTATTAGATGTTGAAAATACACAGCATGCAAATATCAAAACTTTTGTGACAAAGAAAATTAAGCATATACGAGTGGAAAAAACAAGTGGGTAATAAGCCTAAAGGCAAAAACAAAAAAATAATATATATGGAAATGTAAAAATATTTTGCAACACAGCTCAAAGAACCTTGTAATCATCAATAAAAACTAAACCAGGCCAATATTATATCAAAGAGTAATTAGCAAGTTTTATTAATTAGGATCCTATATTACTATAGTGATAATTATTTGGTATTTTCTATTGTGCATGTTTTTGTTAAATGTTAGCATATGTATCTTATGTATATATATATTTTTCTTATGTATATATTTTATATTTAATTCTGATCACTAATTTCTCAATTAAGTAATACTAGAAACAAAGAGCCTTGCCAATGGCATTTACTGCCAAATTAGATACAATTTGGGAATAACCAATTATTCTTTTTAACTATAGCCATTTGCATACTAGCATTTAGGCTTCATAAAAAATTATTGGTAAAATTACACTTTATCATTTTATGGATCAGAAACTGAAGCCTCAAGAGAATTTAATAAACTAGTCAAGGTCACATAACTAATAAATAGCAAATCGAGATTTTCTTAATCCAAATAGAATAAAGTTTTCTCTATACCACATATAATGGTGAATCAATTATATGTATGGAAAGTAACCACCATAAAAACTATGCTCTGCTTTTAGAAATTTTGCTTTGATGTAATTCTTTGAGTTTATACCTAGGATCATAATGAGGACATTATAACAGAAGCAAAATAAAAATCTTAGAATAGATATTTTCTATATGCTACATTTTTATATGATAGATTTATATAGTAAATATTCACATTCAGTCTAATAAACAATCCAATTTTATACATAACACTGAGCTTCCCACTTTAAGCAACTGCCCTTATTTTGTTTTGCCTCCTTGCTATCAGCTCTCTAAGGTTAAGAAATATGGTAAACGAGCAGGCAAGTTTATTATCAAAGGATATATGACTTCTGGTTTAATAGGAAGTAAGACTCTTGCCTCAATCAAACCACAATTTTTTGTACAACTGGAAAAGTGGAATAAAATAGCTTGTCATGTTACAGAATTAGCTTTATTATTTTGATAAAATGTGAAAATAATTTTAAAAAGTAAAATAAAAGGTACATAAATTATGAGATTTCAGCACTTGTAAGGATGACAGTATGCCAAAGGTTAATGTTAACAATATCTTATGAAGCCTCAAATCTTACAGCACGTATTAAAAAAACTTCCTAAATTTAACCTAGACCACAGAATCTCTGTTGGACAAAGCATCATAAAAGACTGGTATTTCATGAAGTATGCTTTGAGAAATAAGATATCATATCATTGTTCAGAGGACTACCTAATAGTACATACAATTTGCATATGAACTCAAAATTCAAACAGACTAGATATACATACATAAAATAATTTATGACAAGCATGTAAAATATACCAAGGCACTTGATGGCTATGTATCATATAAACTATAAAATTAATACTGCTGAGAGCCCAGAATGGCAAGTTAGTAGGCTGAGCTAGAACAGTCAAAGATAATTTTGTGATTCTTTTAATAGTTTTGGAACTGAAATTCTGAGTATTTTTATCTTATGCACTTATGTCTGTAATTTTGGCGTCTGTCTTTGGGTAAACAAAAATTACAGAAGCTAAATAAAACACTACAGGTTTGAATTAATTTAATTCTCCCCAATTCTATTATGCATGTTTTTATTTTCACTTTTGAACTTAAGTCCCACAGTACATTGTCGTTGTACTTAACACCACTTAAATGTACACTTCAAAATGGTTAAAATGACAAATACTATGTTATGTGTATAAAAAAATCTTACTTGTCTAGATCATATAATGTGTGTGATATTCGTACAATTACTTCTACTCCAGCTTCAGTAGCCAGTTTCTTAATAGCTGCATCTCGTTCCTTTCCAAAGGGCTCAGAATCATATTCAATTGAAAGTTTAGTAATGTTCCATTCCTAAAGTAAGAGAAAGGAGCAAAAACATACATAAATTCTAATGATTATTTTTTCTACTATAACAACACAGGCTGGAAAAAAATGAAAAGCTCCAACTCCACATATCAAATGATTATACTACTTTGAATATACAGAAAGAAAATGCACAATTTATAAATTCAAAATTATGTAAATCAGAAATGCGTACTCACTAAATTTCAGGCATTATGCTAGGCATTATACAAACTAGCAACATGCTTAACCTAAGCTTCCTACATTAAATGTGTTTGTATAGCACTTTACTTGTTCAAATAATTTACACTTAAATTATCTCATTTGTTACTCAAAATAACCCTCAGAGTTTGGCACTTTGGTTGCTAACTCCATTTTGCAGATAAGATTATGTTGAAAATTCAAGAATTTGTTCAAGTTCAGAGAGAGCCATAATACCTGAATTTATGTCTATTGATTCTAAGACTTGGTTCTTTTTTAAAAAACTGGAGTATAATTGCTTCACAGTGTTGTGTTATTTTCTGCAGTACAACCACATGCATCAGCTATACTCCCTCCTTCCTGTGTCTCTGTTCCACCCATTCCCTTATCCTCCCAGTCCAGGTTATCACAGAGGACTGAGCTGACCGCTTCCCATTAGCTACTTGCTTTACACATGGCAGTGTATACATGTCGGTGCTACTCTCTCAATTCACTCCACTCTCTCCTCCCCACCTTGTGTCTGTAAGTCCATTCTCCATGTCTGTGTCTCTATTCCTGCCCTGCAAATAGGTTCATCAGTAACATTTTTCTAGATTCCACATATATGGATTAATATACAATATTTGGTTTACTCTTTCTGACTTAACTTCACTCCATGACATTCTAGGTTCATCCCGATCACTACATATGACCCAATTTTGTTCCTTTCTATGGCTGAGCAATATTCCATTGTATATATGTACCACATTTTCTTTATCCATTTATCTGTTGATGGACATTCAGGTTGCTTCCATGTCCTAACTACTATTAATATAAACCTCTGACAGTTAATGTGGCACAAGCTGCTCTGCTGAGGTATTGTTTTACAATGTTTTACTTCTGATGATCAAGAAGTGTTAACTATGGAAAATACAAACACACGTATAACAAGAGCAGATACTGTGTGCCAGGTGCTGTATTAATAAGTCCTGTAAACCTTCTTATAATCACTTTCAGTGAAGAGACTGTGACTTAATGGAATTAAGTGATTTCCCAGGGGGGTAGTAAAGTTTTATTGTTTTTTAAATTCTAAAATCTACTCTGATATACCTTACAAATAAAAAAAATTCACCTGTCATTCTACCATTATTTAACTGATTATATAGTTAACAAGTTGTACTTCTCCAAACCTGTATAGATTAGACAAGGGCTATTTCCAATAGTGAGTTTTTTTTTTTAAGTTGCTATTATAAACCTTTCACTATATACCTTTATACATAAATCTTAAACATTTTGGGACATCTGTCTCATTTTTTTCTAGAAATAATTTTTTGAAACACAATTAATGGATACAATAAATTACATTTAAAATTTTGACAGATACTGGCAAATTTTCCACCAGATATCCTGCACCAATTTACACTCTCAGTAGTAGTACACCAGTATTTTAAAAACCACTAATATAAACACACAGCATACACAGGAAAATAATACCTCATTTAAAATTTTTTCATTTCTTGAAAGTCTTGGAGAATGCATACAAAGTTGTCAATAGCTGTTATCTTTGCAGAGTAGAATTTAGGAATATAAATAATTATTTTACACCATGTTGTATTGTTCATATTTGTTAAGTACAATCATGTACTGTTTTTGAAATTTAAAAATGAAATTAAAATGAGAATAGGAAAGAAATCGTTGTATTTCTTTGTTTTATAGCGAGAGGCAGTATAGAGTAGTAGTTAAAAAACAAAGGATCTAAAGTCAAACTTCTCAAGTTCAAAGACTGGTTCAACTATCTGTGCAAATTTCTAAACCTTCCATGCCTGTTTCCTTATCTTAAGATGGGTAGCATGTAAGTAGAGTGCTTAGAGAATACCTAGCATAAAACAAACATTATGTGTTTATTAGAGTAAGATGAAAAAAATAACATTTTTTTTGTTGTTGTGAAAAGATTAAACTGAGAAAAGATTAAATGAGACAATGTATGTAAATTATTTGGAAGAGAAAAGATGGTGATGCTGGGAAAGACAGAGGGCAGGAGAAGAGGGTACCAAAGGATGAGATGGTTGGATGGCACCACCAGCTCAGTGGACGAGTTTGAGCAAGCTCTGGGAGGTAAGTGAAAGACGGAGAAGGCTGGCGTGCTGCAGTTCACTGGGTCATAGAGTTGGATACGACTTAGCAACTGAACAACAACAATGTAAATTGTTGAGTACATAGTTAAGTCCTCAATGAATGACAGCTGTTATTACTGTTGTTACTAGCCATTTGTGTATTTTTTTCTTTATGAATTGCAGCTTATGTTTGCTTAGGTTTCTATTGCAATTAATTCTCCTATGGATTTGTACACTCCTTATTTTTAATGACAAACTTTGTCACATATGTCACTTCCTAAATAGTCTGTAATTCTACGATTTTTTTTGACAAATAATTTTTTAGTTTTTGGTTAGTAAATGTTGGAGCTTAAAACAAGTCAGTAACAGTTCCTCCCCTTTTCCCTTTTTGAAGAGGAAGGGAAATATGTCAGAAAACTAAACGTAAGAATATAACCCACCCAGTCTTCCCATGCAATTGAAAGAAAAACAAAAGTAAACCAATGAGACCTAATCAAACTTAACAATCTTGTGCACAGCAAAGGAAACCATAAACAAAATGGAGACAGCCTACAGAGCGGGAGAAAATTTTGCAAATGATACAATCGACAAGGGCGTAATTTCCAAAATATACAAACAGTTCATATTAACTCAATATAAGAAAAAACAACGCAATTAAAAAATTGGCAGAAGACCTAAACAGACATTTCTCCAAACAAGTAATACAAATGGCCAATAGGTACATGAAAAGATATTCAACATTGTTATTAGAGAAATACAAATCTAAATCTAAACTACAATGAGGTACCACCTCACACTGATTTTGCTGGTTAAAATGGCCATCATTAAAATGTCTACAAATAAATACTGGCAAGGATATGGTTTTTCCAGTAGTCATGTATGGATGTGACAGTTGGACTATAAAGAAAGCTGAGCGCCGAAGAATTGATGCTCTTGAACTATGGTGATGGAGAAGACTCTTGAGAGTCCCTTGGACTGTAAGGAGATCCAACCAATCCATCCTGAAGGAAATCTGTTCTGAATATTCATTGGAAGGACTGATGCTGAAGCTGAAACTCCAATACTTTGACCACCTGATGAGAAGAACTGACTCATTGGAAGAGACGCTAATGCTGAGAAAGACTGAAGGCGGGAGGAGAAGGGGACAACAGAGGATGAGATGGTTGAATGGCATCACTGACTGATGGACATGAGTTTGAGTAAGCTCCGGGAGTTGGTGAAGGACAGGGAAGCCTGGCATGCTGCAGTCCATGGGGTCGCAAAGAGTGGGACATGACTGAGCGACTGAACGGAACTGAACTGGAGAGAATATGGAGAAAAGGGAACCCTTTACACTGTTGGTGGGAATGTAATTTGGGATAGCCACTATGGAAAACAGTATGGAAGTTCCTCAGGAAACTGAAAATAGAATTACCCTATGATCCAGTGATGCCTCTCCTGAGCATATATCCAGACAAAACTCTAATGAAAAAGACAGACCCAACTCCATGTTCACAGCAGCACTACTCAGAATAGCCCACACACAGAAACAACCTAATCGCCCATCGATAAATGGATGGATGAAGAAGATGTGGTACATATATACAAGGGAATACTACTCAGTCATAAAAACAACAAAATAATGCCATTTGCCCTCATATGGATACAACTAGGGATTATCATACTAAGTGAAGCAAGTCAGAAAGAGAAAGACAAATACCATACATATCACTTATGTGTGGAATCTAAAATATGATAAAATGAATCTATCTACAAAACATAAACATACTCATGAGCACAGAGAACATACTTGTGGCTGCCAAGGGGGACGAGGTTAAGGGAAGGATGGAGTGGGAGACTGGGGTCAGCAGATGTCAGCTATTATATCAGAATGGATGAACAACCAGGTCCTATATTCAGAGAACTATATTCAGTATTCTATGATAAACCATAATGGAAAAGAATATATAAAGAAGAATGTATATAACTGAATCATTTTATGGTATAGCAAAAATTAATACAACACTGTAAATCATATATATATGTATACACACTACAGTACTAGTAAAGCTGAACTGGAAGAAATATATTAGGTTTAAGTACAGGTAAGCTTACAGATTTTTCACCACTGAATTAAACAGATTGAGCTACCCAAGGCTAAACAGCACGTTCCTTTTAGTGTGGGCTGCCCCTATAAAATTTATCACATGGAAGAAAGGAATGGGACATGTACTCTCTGCAACTGAAGAGGTGAAAAGGTATGATCTGACCAATACTCACCTAACTCTTTCTATTAAACTCACCAGTGAGATCATTCACTTCTTCCCTGGGGATAAATTAGTGGACATCTCTCCACAAGAAAAATGAAAAGCTAGGGAAGAGAAGGTCCCCCAAATATTAAATATATTCTTTCATATTCCAAGTATCTATTAAAATTCTTAGCTCCTATTGTAGGTCCCTCCATCCTAGCACTTACTGAAGATTGGCAACACAGAGGGAAGTAAATAATTAAATATATATACTATCAGGAAAAAAAGGATGTTATGACAGATAATATGGGGGTGAGGCTAAGCTAGTAAGTTAGTTATCTACTCTTAATTACACTAGCTAGACTTTCAGTAAAGTGGTGAAAAGTAAATATCCCTGCTTTGTTCTCTATCTCAGGTGTAAAGCATGTTTCACCATTAAGTATGCCATTAGCTATGTTTCTGTGGATAGCCTTTACCAAGTTGATAT